GGGTGGATGTGGATGTAGGTATGGGTGAATGGGTGTGGGGTGGATGTATGTGTAGGTGTGAGTGTGGGTGGGAGTGTGGGTAGGTGGGGGTGTGGGTGTAGATCGGTGTGAGTGTGGCTGTAGATAGGTGTGGTTGTGGGTGTTAGTATCGGTAGGTGTGGGTGTGACTGTAGATAGGTATGGGTGCGAGTGGGTGTGGGTATGACTGTAGATAGTTATGGATGCGATTGTGGGCGGGTGTGACCGTAGATAGGTATGGGTGCGAGTGTGGGTGGGTGTGGATGTGAGCTGCGAAGAGAATAGAACACATGGGCACACTCTGCTCATACCTCGTCTCGAGTTCTATCCTGAAAACTACTAGATTAAGTGGGCTAAGCTACGAATAAATTATGATGGCTCAACAAGTTATCAGCAAATTGTAACTGTCGGCAACGAAGAACCTGTCGGCAAATAGTATATTGCGGCAAAGCAATCTTTTGGCAAAGTGGCGTCGACAAAGTGATCGCTGGTAAAGTGTATCGGATCCCTTACAGAGACTAGTACATAAAGACCAAATAAGTCAAAAAAATAAACTTGTTTCTTTAAGCATCATAGTACGGCGTAACAGTTTTTTATTTCAAGTAAGTTGCAAAAAAGAGCGGCTTCCAGTTGCCATCAACTTTAACGTTTTGCAACACAGTTCGAAATATCCCAAAAAGTTCTATCTCATTCATTCTGTAGAACAAATCAGGATAATTTGAAGGAAGTCAATGTCTCGTTGACTCTGAATGCGCATACCAAAATGGTTACATTCGCGCACATTCTTAGCCAAACGTATTGATTTGATATCACAGTTGCAAAGTATCATATAAACTGTTGAATGGATTTCTTCGATACTTAATTCGTTCTTCTGATTATTTTTGTCGGGAGAAAAAAAAATGATAAATGTTGATATCAATGAAACTAAGGAGAGGAAATAAGCAGAAAAAGCCAGATAAAAATGCCATCTCAAGTTTATACACCGAAGCACAAGCAAAATTACGAACAATAGCATCCTGAATAAAATTATGAGAATTGTTGAAAGTGATAGCTGTTTATGTTGTTTCCATTGTTTATTTGGGAAATTCATGTAATTATTCTTTGCATTATTGCATTTATTTTTGCTCTTTTCGTTTAGCAGTAACAATGAAACAAAATGATGATTGATAACAGACTGATGAGAAAAGGGTGTGCTGTGGCTGTAGATACAATTTTCACCTCTTGCCACACTCATCGACACCCGCACATACATATATCTCAACTTTTTATCTTCTTGTCTTGATGTAGCTTTAAAAAAAATTTTAGTAACGAACGACATTACCGTTAAAAGCTCGAGTTGCTTATGTTCGTCTTTTTCACTTCACACAAACGGGCATTAAAAACAAAAGCGAACGTGACTGATTGATTTCTTGCTGAGAATAATAACAAATTGTTTCTTCTGCTCGCCACTTGTATGAAAAACAATTTCTATTTACTGGAAGGAGAGCATGTGTGATGAAACGGCGCAAATTTGGTGAAAAAAAGCGAATGTGCGAGTAACGCAGCTTCAGCATACCATTTTATTGATACTGCGTAAAACATCTGCAGATGCAGCACAATCAGCCGGGCTGCTCCCGCATACGAGTCTAGGTTTAGAAAACTAGTAAAAAATCGGGTTCCGATCCAGTTCGGGTACGACTTGAAAAACAACCTTAGTTCGACGATCCTGTTCTGAGAGTGTGGGTAAGGTGTGACTGGGTGAGGTGTGGCTAGGTGAGGTTTGAGTGTGTGGTTGGATGGAAGTATTTCGATCAAAACCCCTAACCCACATTTCACACTCATACCCACCTTTACACTCACTCACATCTTCAAGATGGTTGAATGTCTTGCGAACGACAAATACATGTCCATTGTATCAATTTCCATTCGAAGCAGCAGACTTACTTGGTAGAGAAATTATGCTGCAAGTTTTCGTTCGAAACATAATGCCTAATTTTTGCTTCTTGATCGACGAACTATATTCTTTCTCAGTGTATCTCTTCATTTTCTTATTCTTGAATTTTTACTATATCTATTCGTATTTATATGCAGATGAAATTATAAATAAAGGGTGTGGGTGATGGTAATGAAACGGAAGTCACCTACACCCACACCCACCCTCAATCTCATTGACGATAAATGCAGATGTGAATATATTAGTAAGAATAACATTTTATACTCATACCCACATCTCTAAGATTATCTGTCAAATTCTTGGTTTATAATGATGGAAAATCCAGTTTATTTCTTAGACTATTTCTTATAAAAAACTGAAAACTTTAAATTTCTTCAAAATGTATTTAAACATGGTTTAAACAATTTTAAAATTTCAATTGATCGTTCAACATCATACATCGCTCGATGTGCCCCACCTTCCTTATTATTATCGCCAGTATACTTTTCTTGCATGATTCTATCCAAATATTTTTCTTTTTCAACCCATCTTTCTGATGGTATCCATCGTTCAACTACTCCAAAGAAACTGCTCACATCAATGATACGATAATGTAGATATTCATAAACAGATGGTAGTTGTACTCGAATAACTTCACGATCCCAATGAATCGAACTGCCAGCCAATGGACAACCCTTTTCTGGACAATGACGTTTGAGCAGTTCTAACAATTGAACTTCCATTTCTTCTTTTGTTGTTTTCGATGCCAAAATATCATCAAATAGACCATTACCACCTAAAAAGAGTATGAACGAAGTTCTAACTATACTACAAGATTACATATAGTGCCGAATGGCATGCAGTCTCTATAAAGATCTATGCTTACCGTCACTTCGACTCTTGAATGTATTCTGATGAAAGCTGGATAGTTTTTCCAGTTCGGCTTTTTCATAATGCACAATCCATTGACCACGTTCAAGTTCCTTTAAATGCTTATCAGTGATGATTACAGCACATTCCAGTATATGTGGATCATCCAGTGATGTTAATTCTACAGTATACAACAAACAAGAATCAAGAATCAGTTTTCAGATGAATTTGACATCAAAATTATAATGAATGTAACAAATTGTGTCTCAAAAATCATCAACAGATGAGAACGATATAAACAAAAATATATCAATTACAGTTTTCCAGAGAATAAAAATGTGACATTATATTACCTGTATCTAGCCAGATAATATTCATCATTTTTTCTTTTAATTGATCCAAACCTTCAAATACTTCTCCATAATTATTGACTATGGTTATATCTGCCCCCAACATTTGCAATAGTTCGCTAACATCTGGTTTTTTATACCATTTGGCCAAATGCAATGATGTATTTCCATCCGATTCACGTTTGACGTTAATATTGAAACCTAGGTCTTTGGCTGCATGTTCGATCGTTTTCATAAGACCCATACGAACAAACTCATGTATCAACAAGTTCTTATGTTTTGACTGTGGTTGATACCATCGTTGAACTTCGTCGACACCAAAATCTTTGACTAATTGATCAAGAGCTTCAATGATGGCTTGCTCATCAGTACTTTTTATTGTTAATAGAGAGTGAATACGGTCGGCAAGTGTTACTTCTGATGCCATGATATAAATCGAATTTTGTATAAGATTATAGTGTGTCGTTAGAGTAGTGATGAAAAATAGTATTTTATTCTAAAATTAGTCACGAAAGACAAAAAATTGTGTTTTCATTGATAAATTAAACATACACAAACTATTATAGTGTGAGCATAGGGGGATTAAGACAGAGGAAAAAAATACAATGGAATAAGTGTTTTTGCTAAAGTTTTCGTTCAGTGTAGGTGAATTTGAAACAGAGTTGCAACCGTCCTGACAACGCTTATCACGTTTTTTTCCTATTTTTACAGGAGATACTATTCATATCTTATAATTATTCAATGCGCGTAACTCTGATTTCTATCAATGTATTTAGTATTCTAATCGTGCGCGAGCAACACTTCTCATGCTACAATATTAGTATTTTTGAACTTAATAAAGAAAAAAATATCTACAATGCTAAGAGAATTGACAACAACTAAGATTACATTACTTTATTAAGTGTAGCATTAAAGTAAACTTGATGCAGTGGAAGAATTAATTATGATCAATTCATGAGAATTTTGTGGTATACACAATGTTTATCAGCATACCTGTTATTAGTATATATGTGTGTAAAAAATAACTCTTTTTCGTCTTCTATTCGTTCTTTTCAATAGATAAGTGAGTTTTACCACGCGTGGATACTAAAACTGTCTGGACACAGTGTGTGTGATAATATTGTGGTTTATTGAGCAAGGACATAAATTAAGTTTTTTGATATACTCTTCCTTTAAAGATTAAATTATATTTCACGACGTTTCAGTACATCGATGCCTCGTTCGCCAAACTTTTTATTTTTAAAATCGAAAATACAACATTTATATACGGACGTATTTTTCTTCATTTCTTTTCTTGTATGTATTGATAGTAGGTCGGAAGAAGATAACAGCAACAGTCACTTCTACCAGCTATCAATATGTAAAAGTAAAGAAAAGAAGAAAAATACATATATATATCCATACATACTCTTGTAGATTAAGATAATGGGTGTGGGTGTGGGTGTGGGTATCGGTTATATTGAAAACAGGACGCCGTTACCCACACCTACACCCTCAAGATCTCTATATTTATTAAAAAATCAAATGCGAATCTTACGATGCATCTTATAAGAAAATGTTGTTCGATAATTTTGAACGAAATGAGATTTTACGTAATTTATTAAAAAAGAGAAAACTTCAATTTCCTTATTACATTTTGTCCGAATGTTATGCCAAATGCTTTTATTTTTCCATAGAAAATACGTCATTCTTTACAATAACTATGAGAAACATTTTTTTCACACAATAGTTAGGTATAACTGAAAAATTATTGATAAAATATCATATTTTTTATAGAAAAATTCATCAGAAAGAGGGTGTGGGTGTTGGTGGGTGTGGATGTGGGTGGGTGTATTATGCAGGAGTATCATATCTGCAAACTACACCCACACCCAAACTCACACCTACACACACACACGCACCCTCGAACTTTGTGCATAAGATAAATTATGAATTAAGGTTATTTATTATGATGTTCGATACGAAGCATTTCAATTTCTGATTGAAAATTCTCTAATACAAAAGTGTGAGAATGAAGATGAGGCGGTTCCAGTAGCTGCCTCACCCTCAAGATTATTTCATGACGTATTAAATATTTTACATTTCTATAGTAACTTTTTCACGTCTTTTTTCCAACTAGATCATTTGAAAATGTGATAATTTTATCACATACACAAATATGAATGCTCAAAATATGGTGGCACGTACTGTCGTTTTTCTTATTTTATTAATAGAAAAGTTTTTTATGTAATTTATAAAAATGTCTACCATGCCAGTCACAAACCGTTAAAATTTTCTCAGGATTATATTTCCAGTCATGATAACAGTTAAACATGTTATTAGTTAATAAAGGAAAAAAACGAGTAAATAGCACGTACATAGTTGTGCTGTTTTATGATGACAATGCATATTAATCTTATTTATTACCAAATAAAAAAAGATCTTGTATTCATTTCACGACAAGTGATTTACAGAATGACAATGAAGTTAGAATCGTTAGCCAATGAACTGTTGCTTAATATATTTGATTATATAAGTATGGGTCAAGTTTTACGTTCTTTCCAATCACTTAATTCTCGTTTTAATCAACTTATTGATGCCAATCTACGAACTACCCGCCATCTTGACCTTCGTTTCATGTCTTTGAATGATTGCAACATTTTCTTTCAATCACAACTATCAAAAATTATGAATCAAATCGTCTCGATAACTATTTCAAATGAAGATGAAACTCCATTACAAATCGAATTTTTTCGTTATAATGATTTCCGGCTTCGTCAATTTATTAATTTACAATCACTTTCATTATATCATATTTATTCACAGAAGATCATGATGGAAATAGCGATTGAACTGGATTATCTTCCTCATCTCATAAGTATCAATTTAACTGACTGTTGCGGTATTAATCAGAGTCTAATTAACACCATATGGAAGATGCCGAAATTAATACATTGCAGTCTAAGTACAAGATCTTGTAGTAAAAATCAACATCGTTGCCCATCAGTAATCTCCTCATCTCTCAAATATGTATCTATTCAGGATTTCTATACGAATGAGCAGTCATTGTTTAAGCTGGTCGAATATACACCTCACCTTCGATGTCTCTATATTTATTCAGATATGAGATACGAGTATACCAATATGCCTCTTCTGTCATCGTTAATTAAATTTGAATTCAATGAAAACTGCTCGTCGATCCCTTTTGTGTCGACTGGAAATGATAGACTAGAGATGTTCTTGCAAATGGTACCTAATTTAAGACACTTAACAGTTAATTCATTATCCATGTTTATGGATGGATGTCAATGGGAAAATATCATTACTAATTATTTGCCTAAGCTGAAAATATTTCGATGTACAATGTGCATTCGTATTAATACCTTAGAAAACTTAAAAGAGAGAATGTGTAATCTCTTATACTCATTTCAGAGTCATTTTTGGCTTAGAAATGATCAATGGTTTATTCGATGTCATTTGAAATCAGAGAATCAACGCGACTATTACATTTTATATCAAACATTACCTTATTTTTTGACTCCTTCAATTGCTATTAATGATTATCTCTGGTCTGCATCAACTTGTTCTTATGAAAGTGATTATTGGCTGTCTGATTCTGTGTACGATTCTTTTCTAAACGTTAACTCCTTAACAGAAATGGCAAGTACAGAAGAATCAAACACAAATGAAACAACTTCTTCTCGACGAATAATTAGTTTTTGTGAAAGAATTGTTAATACATTTCGATTAAATTTGAATGGAATAGGAGATTTGAAAAAAAGATCGTTGGGTCGTTTAGATTTTACCAATACTTCCAAACTTGACGTCAAACTTCCATTCAATAAACATTTTTCGAAATCTATTCCAAAGCTTTATCTATTAACTTCACTTAATGTTCAGTTGACTACTGATTATACCAATCAATCTGATCTTCGAGTTTTACTGGAACAAGCACCGAATCTACATACATTGAGCGTCCTTTGTCCTACAAAAACAACTTTAAAGTATTTCTTAGCTGTCATCAACAATCCATCAATTCTCAAACTTAATTTGCCAAAAGCTGTTTCACTTACTGATGGTATATTTTACAATATTGAACAATGTGTTGCATTCAGTCATTCTCCATTAGGCAAACAATGCGAAATACTTACCATCATAGTTCAGAATAAAGAATGCATAATCCATCTTATTAACGAAATGAATAATCTTCGATTATTAATTGTTGACAGTTTCGACGAAAACTATGTAAATAGTGTTTCATCATATAGAAAATGTCAAAATCTTTTTGCATGGTTAAAGTTTACTCTACCATCCACAATTAAGATAGCAGAATATGATTGTTGTCACGAAGACCGCATTCGGTTATGGATTCGTTAACCACGTAAACCTGTCCTATTAAATAGGCCTATAGATCTTTATATTTCTTTGCTTTTTATCTTTTGATTAAATTTATTCTTGCTTTAAAGAAAAAAAATGAATCTATAAAAATATGTTATACCACTCCGCTTCAGTTACCAAAGTTGAATCTATCAAAATATAATAAACTTATTTTGTCATTTCTTCAAATATATATTCATCAATCATACAAATCAGGGATTTTTCGAAAAAAATCAGTAGTTTATTAGGAGATTGTATACAGAAAATCAGAATAAAAATTAGAAGATTTTTTCTCGATAAATCAGGAAAGAAATCGAAAACTTTTCTACGAAAATCAGACGAAAATAATAAGAATCATATCTTTCTTTTGAAGACACGAATTGTTATATTTTGATTTTTTGATTTATTTAATCATAAAATTTCATTTGGCATCTGATGAATCCTTTAGTCGGAGTGAAATCTATAGATTATGGTTGCTGTTCTCACACACTGTCCAGAAAATTTGGGTGTGAGTGTGAGTATAGATACCACGTCATTATGATACCCACACCCTAAAAAAAACATTTTCACAAAAAAGTCGGCTATTGAAGAAATATTTACACTTGCCTATGAGCTAGTTCGTTTAAGCTACCTTGAGGATGTGGGTATGAGTGTCTTATTAACCCTCACGCTCACTCGCACCCACGCTCTCATACACACCTTTTACTCTTGGTAATAATTCCTCACTAGCGCAAGAAGGAAATTCTTGTGCTTTATTACAATATCATACTCAAGTTGATGATACTTCACTGAAATATCATTTAGAAACAAGTGATAAAAATGCAATATATATCTACAAAATAATACAAAGTGAATTAATTTCGATCATTGATAATCTAATTTTACGGCTGATAATTGAAGAAGTCAAACAAGCAGAGTCTTTGACAGCCATATTAGATGAAACAGGTAGATATCATATTAGAAAAACGGTTTCATATATCCTATTTTTATGAACTTAGTTAATATAGCCAGTGTTGAACAAACTAGTCTTTGTGTTCGATATGCTTTAAAAGATCAAAGTCATGAAACGTTTTTTATGTATATCTCGGTGAAGAATCGAACTGGTCCAAGATTAGGTAAATTGATTATTAAATCGATTATTGATTTAGGTATGGACTGAGTTTTTTTTCTCAGAGAAAGAAAACGCTTAATAATTTCTTACGTTTTCGGTTTAGATATGAATTACTGTGCTGGTCAAGGTTACGATGGATGCAGCGCAATGTCAGGTAAAAACCCTCTTTATTACTCTGATTTTCAATGAATGATTATTAACCGAATATTTTCTTGTATCTCTTTTCAGAATATATAGGTGATTGTCAAGCTCTGATTCAAATACGTTCAGTTCAAAATATGATCGGTACAATAGAAGGAGATGGGTGTCTCTTCTTCTCTGTCATCCTCATCCACACACACACTCACACCCAAGATGAATATTTAGCTGTGTATTCTATGAGCATGTTGCATGATATAGAGCCAAAAGAAAAAAACAAATTACTGAATTTTAATAAAACACATATCTATAATTATATTGATGAAAAGTGACCAGAATTACTCAACTTCCCAGGTCAATGAATCCTGATGCAGTATTCCCGCGAATCTTCGGAATACCACGGAACCGACCATTTTCGTGCCGGGTTGTGCGATGTAGATTGTATCCTAAATTCCGCGAATTTCCAAACATAGCAATCTCTCAGAAAAAGAAGAGTCGATAATATTAGCAAAGGCAAGCATTCTATTGTCTGCACTCTTTAATACATATCTGCCTTACGCGTTATACGGACCACCATTTATGCCAGTAATAATTATGGTCTTAACATCTGCAGTAAGAAGACTTCAAACAAGTATTATATCACTGTTAGAAGATATAAGACTAACTATAGTAGCATGTAATAGACCAGCATTAATTATTTTTGATGATTTTTTATCCGCTTTTGACAAAATGTGGTACCCATCTTTAATATTCACTTTAATAAAACATGAAATGCGGTGTGGGTGTGGGTATTGGTTATATTGAAAAAAGGACGCCGTTACCCACACTCTCACACACACCCTCAAGAGTAGATCGTGTACGTGGTGTAGTACATTAAAATTAATTTAAATTATGATCTACACTTGGATTATTTACTTGTTTTTAAATAATTCCATAGTATTATATTTTTTTCTTGAAGAAAAATGAGATTATTCATATTAATTCTCATGTATTTAAATAAATGTCTGAAGATGATACTTGAGTATAGGTATCGAAATATCACGAGAAAAGAAAAAATGACTTAAAATTTAACATCATTCATACAAATTTAGTTGCATTAAATCAAATATATTAACTTTAAACGAATATGAGATTTTCATCTTTATTATAATATTAAGAAAATATTCTGAAAGTTCATGCTGAGCGCTACAAATTTTGATTAAATAATAGTTTACAGAAGTCAAAACTAGATTTCAAAAAAAAAGCTTTTTTCATTGGTATATGTCGTGAAAAGCTGGATATTTGATACTGTTACATCGATATTTCCTAAACTAAGACAGATAAAAACTGGATTTTTTCAGAAGTGAATCAAAAAAGAGCAAAACAAAGGAGAGCGAACGAAGATGAAGAAAAGAAAAAAAGAGAAAGGGTAAAGGTTCATGCTCGCAAGCGAAAAGATAAACCGTGCCTATATATGTTGCTCGGTGGATGACCTCGGTCATGGAGATAGGGAGAATGACGGATAGAATCCATCACACATATATAGACCAATAAAACAAAAAAATTATTAACATCTGTTGAGTAGAACTTGACTTATAGGCATTTTTGTTTCGGGGATACAACGTTACAACGGCTGCGATTATCACTCATATGTTATTGGACTTATTTTATCAATATATAATATGGAATTATTTCCTGAATATATAGTTTAGATTCTATTCATAATAGTTTACCCTATCTGTTATTTATCGAAATTTATCTATCAATCGTATCGTTTGCAATATCATTGAGTTTAGATGTCACTATTTTTTCCTACGAATTTATAAATATACTTTGCTAAACGACGAGAATTTAGCGTTTAAAACAAAGAAATAAGACATTTTTAATTGTTCAAATCTTTAAATAAAGCAGTTTATTTCGAAATCAAACTACATCTATAAAGTGCTATTACTATTAGTTAGATTTTCAATTAGAGAATTAAAAAAGAACCAAAACAAACGAAATACGAAATACTTTGTTCATTGTTTGTTCAGGAATGTTTAATTATATTTTTTAGTAAAATAAGGTTGGAGTAGATCTTTCGTCATTTCTAGATTAAGATGAACAAAAATTTGCCTACTTCTATGATGTGTATATAGCTTTAGTTTTTCTTAATACATTTATTGTATACTTAGCTGTGTACTCTATAGGTATGTCACATGATATAGACGTGGAAAAAAAATAAGTTACTCAACATCAAGGTGTAGAACTTAAACAAATTATTAATATAAAATATTCAGAATTGCTCGACAAATCTTCTGAATTCCGTAAATTTGCAAAATCTACACACACACTTACATCCTCAATTGACTGAAGTTCTATTATACTATGAAGGATTTTCAATCAATTTTCGCGTACGTTTTCATTTAGAGTAATATTGGCATAATCATCCCTGGCATTAGTTAGTCAGATTTTTTCTTTTGTGAGTGTGAGATTTGTTTATGACGTTTTACTTTTACATTCAGTCTTTCATTTATTTTGTATTTTGTTTTTGTAGATTAATGTCTAAACAATTACGTACTATTGCATACCTAGCTTTTATCATGATTAATATAACCATCGGATTTATAGCTAGTTATTCTCTAGGATTATTTCATGGACATTTGAAACAACTCGACGAAACTATCATACGTTTATATCCATTTAAACAGAATCGATCGATGATTTTAGAATACATCAAATTGAATTGTTCAGGATTAATTGTAAATTATTCCGAGTTTTATATGTATTCACAGATTGATCTATGTAATGGTTATAAATTATCATTAAAATTAATGAATCTGGTGATAATTCTATCAACATCGTACAATGTCTATTTAATTCGTATATTGTATCGTTCGAATCTATTATTAACTTTTATAATAGGAATATTATCGCATTTGTTTTTTACTGTGATTCACTCAAATGATGAACAAATTCTTCATTTTTTTGGTATTACCTTAGTATTCATTGGTTTTATCATAATTGTTAGTCATTTGGTATTGGAAAGTTTTAATACGCAAGCACAACTAGAAAGTGGTAATATTGATTGAGACAATAATATAAATTAGCAGGATAGAGTTTTTGTTTTCAACTTTATCAATAATTTTTTTTGTGTATATGACAAAATAATAAACATTCGTGTGAACTGAATAAAATTGTTGTATATACAATACGCATGTTGCTTGTTTGCTTTGAAATAAATACAGTAAGAACTTGGCAATTCATTATCGCAAGCACACATTTGAGCTCTATCTCTTTATTGATGATAAGATATCAAGCTCATATTAACGCTCTTGTCTATTCTTGTGTCATCGTATGTTAGGAAAGAGGTATAATATTGCTCGATCTACCATGTAAATATTCAATTCTCGCTCTTTCTTCAATAAAATTTTCATCCCAAACCGATGTTTCGGAACTGATATAATGTAATCTTAACAATACGTAATTTAATTCTAGAGCTAAACTCAGTCATTTTATCTGAGGATTTTACTATAAATCTGTCGTTGTAGATTTGTTCATCTTTCATTTAAAAATAAAACCAGCTGACAAAACATTATGACCGTTTTAGTAAAACCTTTATTAAAAGTAAGATCTTATCGAAAAGACTAAAATAAAGAAGTTTGATCCGAGATGATGATGAAAATAACGGCAAAAGTCTTTTGACTGTAAGGTGAACTCGAGTTCAGTTAATCAAATGGAGATCGTTCATCATTTCGTACATTCATATATTTATCACAGATTATAAAGTGATGATGCAATTAAGCTTATACGTCTAGCATTAACTAAGAAGAAAATGGAAAATTCTTCCCGATTTCGTTAGAATGTAAAAGTAGCAATGGGTGTAGGTGTGAGTGTATCATTTATATCTCACCCACACCCGTCGATGGAAAAAACCATGTTTATATATAGACGGCCATCATGGTAATCTCTAGCGCTGCACATAATATTTTATCTCTTCTCTATAGATAACGCCACAAAACTTACATCACCCTGTTAATCATGTATACGTGTTAAGTGAAATTGTTATCTTACAACGGTAAGATATCAGTCCAGAAAGTTTAGAATATGGGTGTGAATATAGGTCTCGAGTTATTCAAAACTCGCACTCTCGTCTACATCCACACCCACCCTTAATATTGTTCTAATAGGGAAAAAATGACAATATACTTCCGACGTTATCGCTTATCATTCTTGCACAATTATGACGTAAGGAGCATCATCAAAAAGTATATATTATACAACTGAAAAAAAACATTTGCGTGGCAAATTTATAACGTAAGCTCCATTTTCAACCGTTTTTTTCTGCATCAACATAATGACTTTTATTTCTTATTATCATTTCATGGTTTTACTCTATGCTTATTTGGCAATCACTCTAACATTATTTATGATTATTTTTGCCATAATAACGTGCATCAGTCGCTTTCAACACAAGATTTTTATATTGACTACATTTGGCTTGCTTATGGATACTATTATTGCATCTTTGGCAAGCTTCGTCTCAAACAAACATTTGGAACAAGCTAATCTATCCCAAAGCTTGCCTGAGTTCAGCTTATTTTTCTATGGAATGAGTGGCATGATTTTGTGTTTATATATATTTGGACGTATAGCGTATTTTGTCGAATGGGTTGATGATGGAAAGGACTGGTCGAAAAAATCATTGATTGCACGCGTATGTTATATTGTGAATTTTTTCTTCCCTGGTGCACTTGGTCTTGTTATCATTATTCACTGTATCTTATTTATTTCATGGTTTCTATGGAAACTACTTATTTTTCTTTGGGTTGTTGTAAAATCGCCTATGAAGTATATAACCAATGAATATAAATCAATGAACATAATGAAAAACTTTACCATCAATAGTAGTTAAGTTGGTGTAACTATGACCAATGCCACTGAAACAATGAATACTTTAAACGGCACTATCTACTAACTGCTCGAAATATAAGAACAGAAACACATAATATTGTATAATAACACATGTTTAACCGAGAGTCTTCCAGAAAATTATACAGTATACAGATAAAATGTTGAAAAAGAAACATTTACGATTTGTCAGTTTTCTCATTATGTCAATCTGCTCAGTTCTTTGCAGGGCGTGGGCATAGACGTGGTCCTGGGTGCATTAAATCCACACCGATATCTACGTTCCCAAAGAAAAAGGACTAATATTAGAATTTGTCTTTGAGATTACCAAAAAAACATTTGAATTTTTTAGGAATATAATGAAAAACTCTCTCTTGTAATTTATTAATCATAAAAAAGAATAGAAGATCCTGAGTCTTCTAATGTGTCAAGGACTTTAGCGCAGAAACGTAGAATCATTTTGATCACTTGTGACATCGATATTACTCTGATGAAAATACGGGATTTTCTTGACAGTAATGTTATTTTTCTTGTACTAGCCACAATCTGTTTTTTTATAATTTTCAGATCCTCTCCCTCGCCGGTCCTCTAGAAATCTGAAAAGCAAAAGAGGAACGTTGTGAAAGAAAATAAATTGAGTACTACTTAGTCACTTTGGTTATTTATAAATCATTTGTTATTCTAGTTTTTCGACGTATGTGTTGCTAATGGTTTGTATCGTCGGAATTAGAAAAAAAGCGTACAGCATACAGAATCCACCGTTTACATACGAAGTCGAATGAAATTTTATATTATATTGACTTTGCAAGAATGGCAAACAAAGGCAATACTCAAAATTGATAACAAGCACTCCTTTTCTTTTTAACTGGTAACAATATTATTTACGTTGGAAGGATTTCTTTTTTGTTTGCAAAAGATAACAGAAAAAAACCCATGAATACGCTCCAAGTAATATTACATAATGCAAAGAATCTTTAAAAGTATGAGCGCTCTCTTCTGAGGGGTGTGGGTAATAAGAACATCAACACCCATATCCACACCCACACTCTCACCCAGTCACTCTCACACTCACTTCAATGGTAGAACAAGTTTTTATCTATTAAGCTTTCACTTTGTTATTTTAAATTTGCATTGATTATTTAACAGTCATGTGAATACAACTTGCAGTTTATTGAAAAGAAAATATTGGTTTCTTAAAAACAACTTTTTCCCTACAATTACCATTATCAAGTATAGATAATAGCAGCAAAATCACTACGGGCTTTATTAAATTGATTGTCCATTTCACTTGTCCATCCAAAAGCGATTGTAGCTTGATTTTTCATATTTATACCAGCAGCACCACTTGAGAAATGAATAAATTCTCCCCAGTTCATTGAACGAGCATATTGATTCGTTCCAGTATATTTAGGAAAATACTGTGCTACAAGTTTAAAATAATTGACCAAAACTTTTGTTTCTTGACCTTGTATATACCAAGGATAGAGCCAATCTCGGAACCAATATGTGTTTGGTCTTGGAAAGTTGTCAGAATTAGCCATCGACAAGCTTTTAGCTCTTTCTGCTTCAGCAGTCAAACCTAAGCCTTTATACACATCATAGCCGAATATTTCGGCCATTTAACTATCTCCCCAAATACCATTTGGTGGATTACCAAAACCGGGACTTCCTTGAGTATTAAATGAAGCCATTTCAACGATATGGAAGATTTCATGTGTAGGTATATCCATACTTCCCAATTGCTCAAACCAAGGTCCAGCACCTTGATCGATTACATTCTTAAAATCATGACTTGCAGAATAATAGTAAGATGGATGACCTCCACTATATCTTCCAGTATGAAATATAGCATAAAGTCTTTCTTCAGGACCAAAATTTCCATAATTTCTTTTAACATAACGCCATGCATCGCTAAGATATTTTGAAACATATGGAACTGTTGAACGAGCAACATCGCCATCATAGTAAAGTGCTAAATCATCGTCGTAATACACTCTTGTTAATAGTTGATTATGCTCAAACCAATGCTCTTGCCATGTTGCACCGACGATTTCACCTTTAAAAAAATTTAAGAATCAAATCATTAAAATATTCTTACACACATTTGAATAATTATATAGCTATTTTTTTTTGTTTAAAATATATTATTAGTAGTGCTATGTGCGTAGATTAAGAAATCGATTGAGTGTTTCAAAAAAATAGGAAAAATAAAGCATGTACTGTTTGTGCTCAACATTTATGATTCCAATTTCAGTCGTAGTCTACCAATTAATTTTATCAGTAATTTTGGAAATAAAATAAAACGAGAGAAGTATGGACATCTCATGATTTCGATTTACAGAACAACTTTTTCTTTCCTTGATCGAAAAGTATTCATTTCTGTAAAGATGATTATTTTACAATGCTAGTGTTATCAACACAAAGACGCTTAAAATGAATCGCAGAGATTCACGAAAATGAATGGATGAAACAATTGCTTGTGAGGACGTTGTACAAAAGTCGTAAACTTCGACGGGTGGATGCCTTTTCTATATCTGACATCCACCCACACCCACCTTAATATAGGCCTAGTGAATTAAATGTCTGCTGTCAATATCAGGGTACTTTGTAACAAAGAACTGACATACTTACCATCGATTCCAGAAATTCTGTCGCTTCTTGAAAATCCACCATTTCCAGTACTTGTTTTCAGCCAACATTCTTTTGTTGGTGGTGAATATGCAAAAGCCTTACATCCTGAAGTTGTTTGGCATTTTACGCAACAACCAGCATAATCGGATACTTGTACAGATGAAGGTAATAAGTCATTTCCAGGAATATCCCAATCGTCTTTACGTATGAATCCACCACACATGTTTGCTACGAGTACATAAACAGAAGAATTTTTGTTTATGAATGATTTTCAGGTTGAATAAATAAGAACTAAATTTTGTTCAACAAAAACCGATCAGACACCCCTGATTTCTTGTTCTTTTTTTTGCTTTAGCTACTTGCCAAATCTTTCTTTATCTTCTGCTGAGCCTCGTCGATCTGTTTCTGTCCGCTTCGCTTTATTTCAGACGGGAGAATGAAAAGAAGAAGCGTATCAATTGAGTTCTTGGAGGAAGTTTTCCGTAATAAAAGGATCTCGTTTCTTTGAGGTTCACTTGCAGTAATAAGAATATCTTTCAACAATTCGTCCAAAAACCTATCGTTTTACAAATCAGTCAGTATACTATGATGAAGCAATCTTGTTTATTGGATTTCTCTTGCTAATAAATACTTACAACTGTATCCAGAAATTCTATTGCCTTCTGGTTTTCCACCACCTCCGGTACTTGTTTTCGGCCAACAATCTTTTGTTGTTGGCGAATATGCAAAAGCCTTACATCCTGAAGTTGTTTGGCATTTTGTACAACAACTAGCATAATCGGTTACTTGGACAGGTGAAGATAACAGATCATTGCCAGAAATATCCCAGTCGTCTTTGCGTATGAATCCACCACATGTGTCTCCTACGAAAATATAAATAGACGGATAGTTTCAATAGAATTGAATACTCCAATGAACTAGGTTCAGAAGCAAACGCTTTTCTGGTGTGTTATAAGAAGGATTCTTTTGTAGTTTAACAACTTGTGAAATCATTCTTTATTTTTGATCTAAAAACCCGATTGGGTCAATGACGTAGTAAAATTTCTCTACTGATAAGACACAGAAAGCTTAGTCCATAATACTATTATTAAACAATGATCGACTTACCGGAAATAGGAGGACAAATAGTCTGACTGGTCATGCTCTTCGGATAGCAAACTGGGTGAATGTGGCATCGATGTTTAAGACAGATTGTATTTGGAAGTGCACAACTATTGTCAGAATCACATGCAGTCAAATCGTTGCATGAGGCATAATTATAGACACATACAACAGAACTTCCATCGCCTGTTGGAAGATTTGCACATTGATTGTTCGTCGAACATATTTGCTCTGCCTCGACGTTCCAGCATCTGTAAATCAACAATTCCACAAATATAATCACCAAAAATATATGTATCTTTATCATCGTTTTAGTCAACTGAATATATTTGTCGTAAGTGCAACTGAAAATCGCTTTGCTTATGAGAAAAAATCGGCATCTGTTCAAGTTAACCTGAGGGAGTATGTTTGCTGATATGATCGTCCAAAAACATCAAGTAAAAGAAAACATATTCTTCAAGGCTGTGTTATTCTCATACATTAATCCATTCTCATCAGCAAATAGAATAACACGAGCAAGAATATTAGTTAATCGAAACCATATGCTGTCAGTTTTCTCTCGTTGATAATTTCAATTGATCTGATACTTATCATATCAGTTTCCCTTTTTATTTCCTGCTATCGTCATAAGCGGCGTAGGTCATGTGGCTTGGGTAGACTCGAACTAGGCTTGATTTAATGTACAAAGTTACTAATATATTCATTTTCAGTACTATTTATGAGGATTTTCTTATCCGATTGTAGATGTTCCCTACAGTTTGAGTAAAATAACCCACACCTCAGTAGATATTATCCAGAAGTTTCATTTCTATTTGTATCAATATTTGATGGAGATAATTTTCTTTATTTATAAATTCCTTTAGTATCGTTTTTACTCAGTAACATTCATATTCCCGTAATTTGTTGAAAGAGTACGTTATCGTATTTTTGTAAATTTTCTATTCAACAACATGCAAAGTTAAAATTTTGAAATACTAAACAATAAAAATTGTTTTTATGCATGAACTGTCTGTTGTTGACGAGGAACACTAATTGATTGACCTAGTGGAAAAACTAGATTTGTTCTTTGATTAAATCGAATCCGTTTAATTGTATCGATAACTTGTTTTCGAAACGATTTTGAAGCTGCAAAATAGCAAAAGAAAGGGACCTGAAAATAAAAAATATTCAAATATAAATATTTTAATAAAATAAAAAATATTACTGCATTTGCATTGTAAACATAGAAATAGAAAAACAAAGTTATGAATTGTTCTTGTGTTTGTCGATAAACATCTTTAACAATATTTGCTGTACTAACCAAATAAATTTGTGCAATTCCAAACGGACATTTAAATAATAATACAATAATAATTTCATATAAAGCCATTCTTATTGTTTGTTTTGTTAGAGTCGAGAGTCTATATTGTCCATCTGTATTTAATGTATGCATATTTTTATATGTAAGATATCCAAATAAAGTAATTATTGTAACAGGAACAATTATATTTAATACAAGTATTGTAAAATAACTACGATATGTTCTATAAATTGTATTTGATGTTTGACATGTCAAATTAGGTATTATATTAGCTGATTTCATAAAATAATATGGACATTCATTACAAATCCAAACAAATAGAAATCCAACAATCAAATAACGAGCTTTCTTAATAGTGCTATATTGACGTATAGTAGCATTTCGTGAAGAACACATATAAGAATCAATAGCTTGAAGACAAAGGCAACTGGATGAACAAAGAGAATTTATATATACCAATGGAACACGAAATTTACACCAATTTTCACTTGTTAAAGCATTTGCATGAAAACCATCAATGATAATATCACCAGCAAGACTAATAACAAGTACATTTAAATCAAAAAATGACTTCACAAGCATGTAAAATGAAGATGCATTATGTTTATAACTGGCCTTATGAAGAAAGACAATTATATTTAAAATATTTCCTATAATGCCAAGGATAAGAATAGGAAAACCAAATGTAAGTGCTATATATTGAATTGATAATTGAATTTGACGAATGTAAGGATCATTTGAAGACATTCTTTTTACTTTACAAACTTAATTTAATCTAAAACATTAAATTAAAAAGAATCTTATCTCAGTTTTTAATAAGAACATACTGAAAAAAATTAGTTTTCTTCATGTTTTTAATTATCTTCAAACTCTACCCACGTAAATAATTTTTCTCTAAAAATACATATAAAACGCGTTTGATTTTGCGTGTGAAACATTAAGAGTGAACGCGTCTGAGTGCGTTCGTAATCTGACTTGCGCTTAAATGCGTTTCATATAAAATCTAAAAATTTTGAAAAATATATGATAATCTATCTCAGATTCGAACTGAGTCGCTCTTAACAATATTTTCCGATGATCTTAGCCTATTTTGGTAAATGGATTGAATTTTACCACAAGCGATGTCGATCAGATTTGAACAGACGAATCAGTAATCAGAAGTCGTTCATATACATCACTGACCTATATTAGCTCGGAATGTTTTCTCATTCAAAATAAAATATATTTCAATAAGATATAATCTTTTCAAAGTTGTCTCATTATTATTCATACAAACTTTAGAGAAATATCGTTTATTTGTCGTATATTTAATTGAACTTCAGTCTATTTTAACGTCATTAAGATATTTTTTATTATAAAGTTTAATTAAGTTTAGACGCACATAATTTTTTTCTAACTACGCCTCGAAGCGTTTCAACGCATTAGTTTTACATTCTTTGATTACATGGGTAATGCGTAGCGCATTATAAATAGGAAACAAAGTTTTCATTTTTTTAGAGCATTTCCTAACATATAGAATGCTCTGTTACAGGCTTATTCAACAGAGAATATTTTCCAAATACATTTTCTTCTCGACGGAAAATCGAAAAGACTGTCAGTCACATTCGACGTATGTTGCAGATACTCCGTGCAACTGCATTTCTTGATATTTTTCAAGTTAAAAAAATATTATAAAGAACCATTTTTGACCGTCATTTGCCATTACTTGTTCTTAATTCGGAACAATGTAAAGATTTTTGTTCGTCGACGCGAATGTTACATTGTTTTGTTTACGATTAAATTCTGCACTCAATAGTATAATAATAAATCATTCATAGAGCATTTAAAATACAACACCATTGGGTGTTAGTTTCACGGGTATTTCATTTAAACGACACTGTTAGGAGCTTTGAAAAGGTCTTGGAAGCATAAAATAGAGACTTACACAAATCGACAGATGTTCGACGATTTGGTACCTGTTAGTCTTTTTTGATTTTTTGTCAAGAAGAAAAATGTATCCGGAAAACAAAATATTCTCTTTTCAGTGACCCCGAAATATAGCCTCCAATATGTTGGAAAATGCTATAGAAAAAGGAAAAATTTGTTTCCTGATTTTTATTGAATTTATTTGTAATAGTTTAATTTGCATGTAGATATTCAGAATGATGTTGAATGGTTTATGAATTTATTTAATATTGGATAGATAATTTTCTAAAGATGAAAGAGTTAAAATACAATAAAATATTATTCGTAAAATTATCAAAATAGTTTATTTGTTTTAATAACAATTCATACATAATTATTTTTGGATCTACAGAGACTATACTTATCTGAGAATGTCAATTGTATCCATCTTTTTTTCCTTCGCTAGATTCTTGTCTACAAATCTATTCCGGTTTGCGATCGATATTTGTATTGATCTTTGTACAGACGTGAGATTTCAAGATAATACTGAAATATGTATTACATTTAATAGGTATTGTATATGATATTTTTTTTTTCATATTAATAGACATACAATTTTTATGTTAAACCCTTATTATTTGAAATAAAGTAAAAGAAATTTTTGAAGATATTTTCATATAAAAAAAATCAATCTTTCAAGATTAAATTAAAAGAGAAGTTTGTAATTAAGTACTTCTTTCTTTTCTATCAGATAGTCTGTTTCTCATTTTTTATTTTATGAATTTTGGTCTTTTTATAACGATTAATAAACCTTGCTCGATCATTTTCGTTTTTCATCGAAATACTTATTTCTCATGTTGTTTTTGTAATAGTTACACAAATCTATCTAAAACTTTGTTGTGAGCAATTCCTCAATTTTAATAAAGTTTCACCTGAATATATCTCCTATGTTTCAGAACTATGTATTAGAAGTAAAATGAGTCAATGGTGTACTGTAGAAAACTTTGGTATGACGTATAAGCTATATTTAATATTATACTTTTGCGTGGAAATTTGGGCGTCATGGTTGACGTCAAAGAGAAAATAAATGTATACTCATATCATGATTTAAGGCGAGGGTGAATAATAGTTATTATAGTATAATTACTCATGTTTATACATCCATGCATGAATGATTTAACTACGCCTCTCTCATACGTACAATAAGCATATAAATACGACGAATAAAGCTTCTCCTTAATAATATTCTTATTTTATTCAACGACTATTAAACAAATATCAATACAATATGCATCATCATCATCCATTTCTCGATGCAGGATTAGGTGGTTTTGCTGGCTATGAACTCGGACGTCATACCGGTTTTGGCAGTCCACTTATTGATGCAGGATTAGGTGCTTTCGGTGGCTATGAACTTGGAAATTATATGAATAATGGCGGCTTCGGAGGTGGCTACGGAGGTGGCTTCGGTGGTGCTCCATATGGTGGAGGATATGGTGGTGGTTTTGGAAATTCATATGGATATGGCGGTGGATATTATTAACATGTTCATCATCATCATCTGTACATCTTTTAAGAAAAAAATAATATAACTTCTTACTTATTTTTTTTTGTATTTAACAATGTTGTATCTATTTTAATAAACCAGCTAGATCCTTGTCAGATTAGACAACGATTCTACAAGTATTTACTGTTTTTTTTCCGAGGAAATACAAAAACCTTACAGAATTGTGTACTCATGAAATAGTAAATATTTTGGCAAGATACGAACGAGATTCTAGCATGAAATTGAGAAGTTTTCTTCGATTTAGATTCTATCAGGATTGTCTTCTTGTACAATAAGGATTTATCTAGATTTTCGTGTTAAGTTTTAAATGCGTCCTACAATAGGCCTCGACCGCGTGGTACTTAAAAAGAAAGTTTGAACGCCATCCCATCTATATCTTGAGAAAAATTTTGTCGAGAAGCTGATTTTTCTATTGTTATGTAATAAAAATCTTGAAAATCTTACAAAAAGTCGTTCGAAAAATTAGTGGATCTCACGAAAAAGAGCTTTAATACACTCGAAATGATTCGATTTTCGTGAAAGAATTGATAAAGATGCTCATTCTTACAAAAAGTAAACTTCTACTATATGGACTTCGTGACTTTTTCTTCTTATTTTAACGATTTTTCACCGTTCTTTTGTTTTATCATATTACATAGTGAATCGAAACTCGTGCCCACCTGTACAATGACTCATGTTGTTTTTTTGTTTTCTAATGTACAGTATAAATAATGTGGGAGCCAAGTAAACGAAGTTTCTAAATTTTTGAGAGTGAGTTAGATTTTGTGTAATGCGGCTAGTACTCATCCTCATATTTGCATCGACACTGTCGGAAAAATAACTTTCCAAAAACATAACTAGCAAATTGTATCTGATCAATAATATTATACTCCAAAAATATCGATTCTTACAGATAATTTTCTTTTACAAGACTAATTATACATCTTGTCTTGATTGAACAGATTTCTAATTGATCTTATTGAAGAATTGCTAGAAGTACACAAGATATCTTTTTAATATAAAACTCAAATAAAAGTATCAGAAACTAACAAAAATACTCACAAAATACTGAACAAGTTATTCGCTATATGAAAATATAGTAAAATATGACTTCAACAAACTTTTAATCGATTTAATATTCTCTTAGAGTTAATATAACTTAAAATAACTTACAATTATTTATTGTCTTTTTCAGGAAACTCTGCATTTTGAATGTGGGTGTTGTGTTCTTTTTTTTACCACAACTACAACCTCAACTAACCATAGTTGACTGTAGATAAAATTCGTAAGATGACTAATTTATTTAAGTCATTTAAAAGTTGCAACAAAACAAAAATAAAAATCTAGTAAATAGAAATTTGACTTTGTTCTGGATCAACTATATCGAATCCACCTCCAGAAAAAATTGGGATAAGACGTACATCTTGTCCATCTTTGACACGAGTTATATGAAGTGTTTGCGTCTGTTGAAAGTTAATCGAGTTAAAACTGAATTGTTTTGGTGTCCATGTGACGCAATCATTGCATTTTGACGCAGTTGATGGATGCCATTCAATAATTACTGTGTCATTGCCGTTAATACGATGTGGTGGAGTATTTAGCCAAAGTTGTACTGATGAAGTGTTATTCAATGGAATTACCAATAATTGAGGATTGTAAAGAAGTCCAAGCGAAAGATCTGTACAGTTATAAGCCCAATTTTGTGGAATTCTCTTGAATAGTTTGTCATCGGGTTTGCCAATAGACATGACTTCGTAATATGTCGTTTCATACAACACTTCCCATCGACGACGAACAACTTGAGCTGATCTAAGTGGTATATCTGTGTTTTTTTTAAAATAAATTTCTTGACAAGGAAAGTATTCACCACTATCAATTCGACATGTTTCATTTGCATACCAATAATCTTCATTTCCTGTATTGTTGTTAGAATGAATCATTTCATATCGGAAGTTAACAAAATTATCAATTTTAAATGAACTATCATTGAAATTCCAATGTGAAGGAAATGCACTGGATAAATAATCACCTTACTTCCAATAGGTTCCATAATTACAACTATTTGATGGATAGCTTAATTTCAATTGAACATAATATTTTGATTCAGGTGAATCAGGAATTGCCAATGGGAAATGTTGCATTGCAAATGAATATTCAGTTAGTGTTGGATTTATAATGTATGATCTGTAAGCTTGTTGATTTAATTCATCGATTGCATAAATAGCTTTATTCTCATACGTAGAAAATGTTATTTGTGGAGGAAAATAGGGTTGAGCACATCGTACTCCATCACCGCTTAACATCAATAATACAAAGCATACTAACGTTAATTTAATTATCATATTTCTAAAAGCGAAAGAAGAATATTTTTTTATTAAAACACGATAACAGAAATGAATGTATATTACGTCGTAAACTGAGAAGAAAAAACACGAATATAAGCCCTGATGAGAATATATATACATATGTCGTATTTATTTTAATAAGTGAAAATGTAGTCGCTCGGTTTGCACTAGAGGATTATAATACGAACAGAAAGAAAAGGAAAGATAAGTTAAATTTGAAAAAGTACGTTATTAGTATACATACGGTGTGGGTATGAGTGTAGACCTAGGCGAGCAAAGAATAAAAAATCTACACCCACATCCATCTATTATTAGAAATGAAGAAAAAATTTGTTTTTTTCTTCTTCTGTTAGATTTATAGAAAACTATATATATGAAGATCAACATTTTGAATTATAATTTGCAACGTAGAGAAAGCCGTCGGTAGAATCAAGTTTTTCCCTGTTGATATTCACTTTTGATGAATATAGAATTAAATCCTGCATTCACTGAAGTCATTTGAGAGGATAGTTGACGAGCAAAAAAAGGAGTTTCAGATAAGATACTGGATAAAGTTTGATTTTATCCAGTAATGATCCCAAACTCCCACTTTTATGACAACCTGTTGCAGGCTAATCACGAGTTCACAAGCGAATATCAGTAGGAAAAACTTGGTTCTGCTCATAAGTGAAAGGGTATTATTGAAAAGATCTCTGTAGAAAGATGAAGACAAATCTGCTTTTATTTTATATATATTCTAGATTTTCTAGTATCGTTTATTAAATTTAACAAAATGACTTCATCTTCTCTTGTTACATTAACACCAACTACTGGAACATGGTTTATTCCTATTGATATTATTATGTTGCTATACACTATATTAACTATTATACTTGCCATTATTTTTTTGAATAAACGATGTCACACTGTTTCAAGAATGTTAATTTCTAATTCATGTATATCTCTATACTTGTATTTGATTGTGTCTTGCTGAGTATGTACATATTTACGTTAGAAAATGGTTTTAAACAAATAATATATGAAGATTCACTTTGTTTTATTCGAGCTTATGTTAGATACGCTACCGTCGGTGCTATATATTTTTCATTTTTAATACAAGCTTTCTATCGATTATTATGGTTATTTATCCTAGTCGTTTATCTTGGCAATCAGCAAAATTTCAATTTTTAATGATTTGCTTATCATGGATGATTGCTTTTATATATCCTACTGTATTTACATTCACTCATATAATTACTTATAATTCTGGCAATCAACTATGTCAAATACCTATTCGACTATCCTTCTTTGTAATTTACTCGTATTCTCGCATCTATTTTATTCCAGTCACAATCATTACCTGTATTAAAACTTGGTTTTCCGTATGCATTATTTATTATAATATCATTTTTTACTAATGTACCAAAATATAGTTATCGAATAGCTTTTTTGTATTTGTCAATACATCATTAGTAGCAGCGATGGTGGCATTTTTTCAATTTACTGATCCAGTCAAATCATATGTAATCACAATAATGAAGCCACATCCTAATAGAGTAATAACGACCATGACATGACTGAAAGAAACCAAGCGAAATGATATTGAAATCATCTTTAATGTTGCGTTATATTTTATGAATAAATAAACTACAATACAATTGATATAGATCAGTTTTTCTATACGTACGAATATTATGAAATGAATAAATAAACAGAACATTTATATAAATCATCTTGTCTTGAGAGTGTGGATGTGGATGGGTGTGAGTTTCCAGAGAAAAAAAGATCCACATCCACACCCTGATTTCTTTATTTTTCTTACTTCATTTTTTTTAATTCGTCGTACTGTTAAGATCGCAGGTTCTGTAAAATAAAATTAAAAATTAAAACTATTTAGTAACTTATTACATTGGATATATTTTGATCATTTATTATGATTTGAAAATATAATTCGATTTTCTAGTTAATAGTATAGAAGATGAACGAATAATTTTTTGATCTAGTATATTTATTTATTAAAATCGTTTACGTTGTAACACGATTTAAAGAAATTGCTATTTTTTTATTATAATGAAAGTATTCAGATATAAATACGATAATAACGAGTTTATATGAGTGTAGAAGAATAAAACTAATAAACAGATTTACATGTATTATATTTCAAATACAAGTCACGCATACTGGTAAAGCTTAATGCGAATACATTACGTACGTGAAAACGAGAAAGAATGTAAAAAATAATAATCTACAGAAAGAATATTTATCATATAATAGACATACATCGATAGAAATCAGAAACAAATTTTTTTCTCTGTCCATAAATAATGACATCGATCTAACGAGATGTTCTGTTACTTATCTTGATCGACTCATGAACTGAATGTTTTTAAGAAAGGACATTGTATGTATACAATTATAAAGATAGCTAACACGTAATCCATTTATGATTGACACAAAACAACAGAACGGAAAAATATTGTTTGAGAGCTAACAGACATACTATATGTATAATAACGACATAAGCATTGATGTATACTAAGAATTACATATGAAACAATGCAGAACTCTAATAATACATCTCAACGATAAAATGTTTCATTAACTAATTTCTACTATTTTTGTAAAGTTAATTATCTCTTGTTTTCTATTTTTATTCAATACGGTTACTTGTGAGTATTTAGATATTGAAGTTCAATATAAAATCTAATTTTTTTTTGAATATGAATGATAAACCATTTGTAGATGATAACTTCACAAATTTTAAAAAAATTCAGATTATTTTCTATGTTTTCTCACTAAAAAACTCCGTAAGACAAATTATTTTTTCTACAATTCAGTATGTTTGTTTCATGATGTATCAGAAAGTTTCATTCGTTTATATGAATTATGAGTTTACCAATTTTAGAAGAATTCGTCTGTACTTAATAAGATCGCTGAATTTTACAGAATTTAATGCATGCTATAGAAGAAAAAATTGCTCATAGAAATAAATATATCAAAGATTTGATTTCTCAATTTGAAATTGTGTTCTATTTAGATAGTGACATGTTGACTCTTAATCGCATGTGGATCTCTTTCGTACTACTTTTTGGACTCGTTTTCCATCGTTCGAACTGCGAATACGATCGTAACAATGCTGCAACAGGTATTAAATTGTCTACCAACGACGAACTATCTGTCTCAGCGTCCAATGCCTTCTTGAATTTTGGCGTTGTAATTAATCCGTTCAACAGTTCGACAAAAGATGTACGCAAACGTTGCAATGTAGGATATATGTCACCTGATTATTTTGTTCACAGTATAGGTGTCATCGGTGCAGCTAATAATGGCACTAATCGTGAGCTGTTTATGTTCGCTTTTGCAGGTGAAATTACAACAAAATCGACACTATTTATTTGTCTTGTTACTGTTTCACGATCGACATGTAACGCACAGCATCAAATGACAGTTTTACATAGCGCAGACAAGCCTCAAAATTATTTTCTGATCGGTGTCGATTCTCATGCGACCTTTGTCTATGGTTTTACTAGCACTATGGCATTCAAACTCGAGATCGCCACTAATCAAATTGTTCGGAATCTAACATTGGAAACGCTCTGGCCATCGATCATCTTTCTTCCTCATGCATTCAGTGTAAGTGACCAATGGGCAGTAGTGGTGGGATATAGTTTGAAGCACAACAGCGAGAAAAAGAATTATGCCATTATGGAATGTCTTATTGATCTAATTTCGTTAATAAGTTACTCGTGTGAAACGCTTATTGTCGAAAGTACTTATTTAGTACCATCGAATCTTCTCTCGTACAACGAATTGTATGAATTGTCAGTGGCTATTCGAGATGAAAACGTACTCGTCGGCATTCATCGTCTTAATACAATTGTAATACTGAAAAAAAATCAAACTTCATTGACTAAAACACATGTATACACTGTGACTTCGTCGAGCTTGACTTCATTTGGACGTTTAGTAGGATGGGTAGACGAGCGAACTATAGCCGTCGTAGCTTATCATAATTTGTACTCACCGTGGTCACAATCACAGATATTTTTCTATGATAAAAATTCTGTATCATCCACTTCTCCACTCTATACATTTCCGAATAATCAACAAACAATCGGCAATCAATTATTTCAACCGCATTTTGTTCGTTTGATCATTACAAATAATGGCAACTTAGCTTTGTTAACTGATAATAGTCTTGTTATAATTGTTCCAGTAGCTCCTATAAATCATGCTTCAATGTGGGTCGAGCCGTCAGCTGCAGCATTCGTGTTCTATTACTCACCTATGCCTTGCATCGGTGGTACTTTCAAGAATGAATCCGGTCTAGGTCCATGTACAGTCTGTTTACCTGGAACTCGAAATCGAGGTATAGCATATTCTGAAGGAACTTCGTGTATTTCTTGCTCTCGAAACAATTCGAACTCGTACTGTTCTCTTGCAGCACTTGTCGAATTTGACTTGAATACGATGACGTCTCACAGTCAGGTAATGGCCTATCCAGAATCAGCTGACACAACTAATTTCGATGATATTCTTTTGGAGAATATGTTCCAAACAGACTCGAATTTTTCATGTATGATTATTTCGCCTTTTTTCTGGACAATAATTGCAGGTGCTTTTGCTTTTTCTGTCTGGATAATGATGGCAGTAATAAAGCTAGGCAAATGGGAACAGTGTAATCGTTATCGAACATGGATAAAGACAATTTTAATACATACAGATCTCATTCGCGAAGGACAACGTTGGGTCGGCGGATTAGCTACTATCGCTATTATTATTCTCGTTTCGTTTGCTTGTTGGTTTTGTGCATCATTTCTTAAGCGTTATCCAATTGAAGAAATCTTTGAGCCAGTAAATTTTGCTTGCGATTCAACATTGATCAATGCAAAATTCTCCACAGGTCTCGATCTACTTGCAATACCCAAATCGACCGATGCTCAGAGAATCATTAATCTTCTCGATAATCAAATTTTTAA